TCTCGACTGACTGACGCTCTCGGAAAATTAGCGGCCAGGTGAAGTGAAGTGATTGGGGGCCAATTGATTGGTGTGTTCGGGGCGCTCCACGCTCCACCCGCCGCCGTCGGCCGCGCCGGCTCTTTTAAATACCAAAGAGTGGAGGAAAATGGCGGCGCCGGACCCCTTGGGCCTCACGGGGGGCGGGGCGGGGCGGAGCGGAGGGCCCCGGGAGGACCCCGCAGGACCCCGCAGGGGCGTAAGCGGCGGGGCGGGCCGCCTTTGTTTGGCCCGCGCCAACGAGAACATGATTTGCGACCTTGGGCGATCCACTAAAGTCCGGAGGGGTCTTGTTTTCATGTGTGACCGCGCGCGAAAGCGTGTTTCGTTGGCTGGCTCGGTGCTGCTGCTGCTGCTGCTCGGCCGGTCGGGGCGGAGGGGGGCGGGGACTCCCCTCTGCCGTCGGCTCTCCTCGGGTCTTGGCCTTTCTGTCTGCATTATGACCGCAGCCGACGAACGAACCGGACTGCCCTGTGGCTGTTGCTGCACAAATTGCATCCTCTCTCACAAATACCTAAATTATTTCAACAGTCGGTGATGTGGAGGGAGGGAGAGGGCCCCTGGTAAACTCTTTGCACGCCGACTTCTCTCCCCCTGCTGCCTGCTTGGTGCGATGCTGGATGTTCACAAATACCCCCTCGACTGTTCAGCTGATAAGTGCCCGACTGTCCTTGAGGTGGCCCTTGCTGTTGTTTCCGGCCCTGGACGACGCCGTCGCGCCGTGGCGCAGCGTAGCGCGGCGTGGCGCGGCGTGGCGCGGCGTAGCGTGACGTGCAGTCTCGGGCCGCTGCAGCAGTCCGGACTGCTTTTAAACTCAGGCGCCTTGCATTTTCTGGAGATGACCCGGGCGTTACCGCGTTTGATGGTCGGCGGCGGGGCCTGGTAAGGGGAGAAGAAGTAAGTGGGGGGGGGGCGATGGTGCAAGATTAGAAAGCGTGCGAGTGTCCTGTGTGGCGGGGCGGGGCGCCATCGCGGTGAAGCTCGGGCCATGAGTCGGGGTCGGCTGGACGGCCAGCCGTCTGTGTCCTGTCTGGTGCGCGCCGCGCGCCCCGCCCCGCCCCGCCTCGCTGACTGCTCATGCCATTCTGGCCAGTCCCGGCCAGGAGGGGCGTAGAGGTCCGGGGGCCAGCCGGGCGATCCCGCCCGATCCTGAAATGATGTTGTTCGCTTTTGTCTTTGTTCCCTCCTCCTTGTCTTCCTTGCGGGCTGTGGCTGTACTCCCATCCAGTTTCTCTCTCTCTCGCTCGCTCGCTCTCTCTGTGTCGCCGTCCCTCCTCCTGGGGCCGGGTAGGAGGAATGCCGCCCTCACTCGCGGCAGGGCCACCCTCCGGACCCGGTTTTTGAGACAATACGTGGCCGGGCGATATCTCATCATTAGCGGCGGCCGCATTCGGGCCTCGCCTCCTGGCCTCACCTCGCCACGCCGCGTTCTCGTTGAAGGCCCTGTTTGTCCTCGCTCTGCTCCGCCTCTGCCTCGGTCGGTACTTCTCTGGGCGGCCGCTCTCTACCGCCGTCCTTGAGATGACATGGCCCTGAGTCGGGTCACGGTGCGCTGCGCGGAGCGGCGCGGCAGGCGCGGCGGCGGCGGCTGGGAGTCCTGCGTGTTGCGGGCAGCAGGCGCCGCGGCGGGCGTCCGTCCCGACGCGTCCGGCCTGCTCTTCGGGCCACACGAGCGTCGGGCTGCTTGCCGGGCCCCACCACGGGCCCCACCACCACCACTACCTCCGCCACGGCGGCGGCCGCCGCCGCGCGCGTTTGGTTTTGGCCGTGAACCCCGCGCTGTACGCCGCCGCGGACGTCGGGTGGGGCGTGGCGGGTGGTCGAGTGGGAGAGAGAGGAAGGGAGGGAAAAGGAGGGGGGAGGGAATAGTACGTACCTCAGCCGATTTGGCGCGAAATGGTCGCACACGTTGGGGCGGGCGGCTCCGTCTGTACTGTACTGATTGAGGCATTTGTTTGCGGCGGCGCGGGCCTTTGCCCTCGCATGTTTCAATACCAACGACCCCGGCGTCGCACGAAGATGATGAGGATGATGATGATGGCTCTGATGACGGATTCGTCTTTCTCGCAACATTTTCCTCCGATCCTAATTAATCCAGTTGTCGTTTTCTTGTCGACTTGGGAGTAGCACTCGGGTTGTTCCTGGGCTTTGCGCGGCTCAGCCCCGCTCCCCCTCTACTCTCCTCTCTCTCGCTCTCCGCTGCCCTTCCCTCTCTCCCTCGTCGGTCGGTGGGGCTTAGCGCCACGCCACGCTCGCTGCGCCGTGGAGGGTAGACCTCCCCGATCTCTTCCCTTCTCTTCGCTCCCTCCCCCTCGGGGCCCCGCTCGGCGGCCCTGGGGGAGACGAGGGAGAGGGGGATGGCCGGATTAACGCCTCTTTGCTTTTGTTCTCTCGTTTTTGCGGAAACGGATTTTCGGAGTCTGGGAACTATGGTTGGGAGAGGGGCTGTGGGGGGATGAGGCCAATTTGAGCGGATTTGAGGAGTTCCACGTGCCAGTGCGTGGGTCTGAGCACGCGTGTCACTTGCTCGCTCGCTCTCTCTTGCTCGCTTTCGTAAACCTTGGGCCGCTGCTAACGGTGTATGTCTTGTTGTTGCAGGTGTGTATATCGGGTCGTGCGGCGCACCCGCCGCTCGCGCCGGTGTTCTCGTGAGTCTAGTGATTAGTGCCCCTCGTCTGGTTCGGCCCCGCCCCGCCCCAGGTGCACTGGCCTGTGTCGCGGCTGCGGGGGCGTGCCGTGCCGGCGGGTGGCCGTCTCCCCTCTTCGATCGCCGCGGCGCCGCCCCGCCCCGCCCTGCCGCGCCCCTCGCCGTACTGTTTGGGGTCGCTTTTGATCGTCGTGCGCCTCCTGTCGGCGCGCGCTGGCGCTACTCCAGCGGGCCGGGGGCCGGGCCGGGCCGGGCCGACGACTCGACTTGTGTTGTCCTCCACGGCCGTCGCGGCGCGGCGCGAGTCGGCGGCGGCGGCAGCGCGTCGGCCTCCGATGTTGTTGGGGCTCGACGCGACGTCCGCGTTACCTCCTCCTATTGATGTCCACTTTGGTGACGCTCCCGCGACGGGGGTTCAAAGCATCGCGATTTTTGCACATCCTTCTCTCTCTCTCTCTGGCCTGCCGGCCGGCCGGCTCCGGCCCAGCCCGCCCCCCTCGCCTCGACTATATCGATTGCCCCACCCCTTGCCTGCGGCGCCGCCCTCGCGCCTGTTCACAGGCCTGGGTTGGGCTGCGCAGCTTAGGGGTGGCTCGCTCTCTCTCCCACGTTCTTACTCTTTTCCTCCTCTCACTTGCTCTTTTCGTGCCGTCTCGCTCCCTCTGTCGTGCCGAAAGGGCGTTGTACCTCGTTCTTCTGGGGCGCCCCGATGTTGGACATCCATCCTGCCTGCCTGCCTGCTGCTCCGCGGGGCCGGGGCCGTTCGTTCTCCTGCACTTGCGCGCCGCGGCCGAGCAGGTCCAGGGGGTTGTTGGGCCTTGTGCGTGACGGCTCCTGCTGCGATGACAAATGCCGCTGCTGCTGCCTCCCCTGTCCTGCGCATGCGCCCTCTGCTCCGGCCACCCCCGAGAGGCGCTCCGCTCCCTGCGCTACGCCGCCGCCGCCAGCCTCTGCGCCGCTCCGCGCCACGCCTCACCGCGCCTCGCTCCCGGCCCAGGCCAGCGGCAGCCCCCGCGCGCCTGGTGGTGGTGGTGGTGGCGGTGGTGTGCTGTGCGCAGGCGGTGTTGCCAGACCGCCCTCTCCCCCGCTGTCAGCTGTCGTTGTGCTCGACTGTTTGAGTGGCAAACACACGCGCAGACTCAACCCCTTGGCCCCCGTGCGCCCCGTCCTCCCCCCCTCCTGCCGGGATCACCTGCCCGCCCCGGGGGTTGTGCGGATCTAGGGGTGCCCGTTGCCCCCCGGAGCCAGCGTCACGCGGCAGTAGAGTGTATTTGGGAAGCAGATATCGCGGCAGTGGGTCGTGACTGTAAGGGGAGTAACGCCTGTGGGGGGGTAGGGGCCGCGGGGCGCTCGTGCGTGGAGGCACGAGCCTCTCCACCCTTCTGGGCCCGCCCCGCCCCCACCTCGCGGGTGCCGCCTAGCGGAACAAACACCCTTCAGCAGAGTTCCCGGGTTCCCTCTGTCGCGGCTCGCGAGCTGGCCTCGGGGATAAAGGGGCGAAGGAGGGGGAGGTCAAGAAAACGTTTGGTCGGAGGGCGGAGACGGTCGTGTATGCGATCCCATGGCAACCGACTTGTACAGTACTTCTTCTTCAGGGCCAACTTGGCTGGGCTGGGGGTTGTCTTTAGGGGGCCGTTTATTGTTTGAGTTCGGACCGGCTGAGGGGGAGGGGTCAGGGGGTCTCTCTTGTGTAACTCTTCCTGGTGGTGGGCAGGGGCGTCTCGTTGACAGGTTTGCATTGCCGGAAGCATTGGCCCCACTTCCTCCGTGTGGCCTGCGGTCTGGTCGCACCGCACGACACGGCCGCCCGTCGCCGGGGACCTGCCCAGTGTCCGGTCGACCTGTCGTCGTCCCTCCGCCTGCCTGCCTGACCTTGCCCCTCCTGTCCCTCCTGGAAAAAGACAAGTTTAGGGACTTCTCCCTCTCTCTTCGGCCTTCCAGCGAGCCGGTGCCGTGTGCACTTTCCAGGAACAATAGAGGCAGTCTCTTGTCCACCTCGGGTGCTGCTGCGGGTTCTAAGGGGGCTAAAAGGGTTTTTTCTTTTCTCTCCCCCAGCGCTCGACGGTGAGAGGTGGTTTGCGGCGTTGCCACTGTGCCTGCGCACCCCTCGCAGCGCGCGGCCCCGGCTC